ATGGGCTACGTGGAGTGGTCATACCGACATTTCAATTGCATTCATTACAAGACGACCAATATGGGGCCTGACAGTATACACCTCACGCAGGAGTGGTCATACCGACATTTCAATTGCATTCATTACAAGACGACCAATATGGGGCCTGACAGTATACACCTCACGCAGGAGTGGTCATACCGACATTTCAATTGCATTCATTACAAGACGACCAATATGGGGCCTGACAGTATACACCTCACGGCAGCATATTAATACTGACCTATTCATACAACCATTCGTTAGAAGCTATTTGCTCATATTGAGAATACAAAATTTATTCTGAATGGTTTTTTGTATGACTAACAACAAACAAAAAACATTATAAATAATATATGATGGGAAAACTTGTCAAAGAGAGTTTCAGCTATTAAATAGGAAACCAAGGCTACATGGTGTGTAGCTCGTCGTGAGAAAGCCTATATGATAGTCGGACTTATAAAAATAGCAGAGTTACAAGAAACTGTTCGACGATGTGTTACGTTAAATACACAATTTTCCAATGGTTAATTACTTGGGTGATTTTGAAGCTTTTTAACTGTATAATATTGTTTAGTGTAACTTTAACTCCAATTATTAAAACTTTTATTTCTGTTGTGTTCAAAAGATGGCGTTCATAAAGTGACGTCTTAATATTTCGACTGGTGCATTAGATGATTAAATTACAATAACCTTTCGAAATGTTCTGTCATCATTGTTTTGAACTTTCATGGTCAGCTTCTTTTTTCGGAAGTGATATACAAAAATAAACACGAAGTTTTCAACTGTATGACTCGCAATGAAAAAGTATTTGACTAAATATCTTTCATCTTGTCACTAATGGAATTTACTTTATCACATTTTCTGTTTAATACAAACGTACAACATTTATTAACATTCTTGTATCAACTTATCAAGAACATGGAAAAATATTAAAAGTTTTGATCTTGTGTAGTAAGCTAGTTGTGGTTTATAGGGAAAATATGAAAAAAAAAAGTTCATTTATATGAACTAATTCTTATATACGTAGTTAAACAGTGATACCAAAAATTAAATTTTTGGATTAATTTATAATATATATATGTGTGTGTGCGTGTATGTATGTGTGAAAATGATAAAAGAATATCAATTTTATTATTTAAAATGCACAGTTTTTAATAAAAAGATATATTTTATGACAAGTATAACTGATCATCAACTCCATAAACATGAATGGCATTTAGACAACAGCAGTAAAATGCACAGTTTTTAATAAATAGATATATTTTATGACAAGTATAACTGATCATCAACTCCATAAACATGAATGGCATTTAGACAACAGCAATGGTAATAACAAGTCCGCTTCCGCGATGTCTATATTCTAACGCTAAAGAGCAGCATGTTCCACAGATACTTGCCATTTGTAATTTTTTTAAGCATTACAAACGTTAAAAGACATTTAGAAAAATGATAGAAGATGGCAGCACATATAATTTTCTATCAGAATTATCCTATGGAATCTGAAATTATAGAATACCCTGGGGGAGTTTGAATACTGGCAACTGACTTTGGATGGTATTTCCTCGTGATATATTGGGACAGTTCAGAGTTTTCCTATGCATCAATTTCCTATTATGTTAGAGACATAAATTAAAACAGATGTTCTGATGGAAAGATTTTATAGTTTAGGAAATAAAAAATATATAATTTGATATTCAAACCCGTTTACATATTTCATATAGATTGCTTGTTCCATAAATGGTGAAAATTGAATGTTACATTTATTTAGCATTGAAATGATCAGTGTCAGCATTAATATGTTTTTCTCCTTTTTTATTTTGATTGCAGCGTTATTTTAAACGTTTTGCATATATGAAGATTATTCATATATTCATCTTTACAACAAGCTGTCCTAGTGAACATTGGTTTCAAAGTGTAAAGTTTATCAAAATTATGTATTCTATATTGAACAAAATTGGTTACATAAAAGATTTTGTAAATATTTTGAAGTAAAGTCAAGTGTAACAATATGCCCCGGATGCGAGGTAAGTTGATATAATAGGTGGGGCATGTTGTTATACAATAAAAAAAATCTGGAATATTTACCAAAACTAGCCTACTCTATCATGCTAAATGTTATAATAGGCCTACTGTAGTTTTTTCATAACATTTAGCATGTTAGAGTATAAGCCTAATTTCAGTAATTATTCCAGATTTTCTAAATTTTAACGCGATATAATAATTATAGGCTTAATAAATTTATTAATGATTACACCATAACAAACTTTTAAAACGACAATTCAAACATAATTATATTGTAATGAATTTATTATTGATTACACGATAAAATAAATCTTGAAACGTTGTTTAAACATATAAGAATCATTGTTCCATGATCGAAAGCTTAAAACAAAAATGGTTATAGTTCTAGTTTGTGTCACAATCACAATTTTCACAAATATATGGACCACGAGTTTCACCTGCTGGGCATCCATAATGAGATCACTTATAACAGACTGTGCATTGCATCCATTCTTCTTTGGATACAGAATTACTAAACAGGTCTCCACATAGAAGACACTCAATTTCTTCCATCCGATTTTTCGCTTATTACCAGTGCTAGGGCCTTTTCTGTGACCACTCTCTTTCGTTTTCTTTTTATCCCTGTCATCTTTTTCAAACTGGAGTTGTTGTTTTTTTCGGGTGTAGAGGTCAAAATAGCCGAATATCGTTTTTTTCCTGGTTATTTTGGTCTTTCGTGGGGATGCCTTCCTGAAAGGTCTTATCATCTCTGGAGTCCTCAGCGGGTCTGATGTTTTCCTGTTGGTAGGAGCGTTATAATACTTCTTGAAAGGCTCGTATATACTTCTAACCAGGGGCTGTAATATGTGCGAACAGTGAGGCGGGAACGAGAGAAGATTTATACCATTTTCCACACAAAAAAGATACAATCTAAGCTGATATGTGACTCATGGTTATCAAGGAGAAGAACAATATGATGATCCTTAGAAGATTTGACTGTCTTCACAAAATGTTCCATGAATTTTAGCAAATTATATTCGGTCATCCAACCTGAAGGATATAATGCACCGATACATTCAGTTGGTCCCCCGTTTAGGAAGTGATCTTTGAAATGGACGCGTGGGAAAATAAACATACAAGGAACACTGTTTCCTAATGCATTGACTGCAGTAAGAATTATCACAAGTGTACTTCTTTCACCTGAGGTTATCGCCCCCACTTGCTTTACACCTTTTTGATGAACTTTGGGGCATGTTGTTACAGCATGTAACAACATGCCCCATATCGACATGGGGTATAACAATGTCTCCATACTAATTCATCGTAAAACAACATAACTCAATGTTATCGTGTATTAAGAGGTATTAACTATCGAAGTCTACAACTAATAAGAACAGTATCAAAAACAGTATATAAAGAGTAAATAGATA